GGACCCCAGCCCCTCCCCCCTTGGACCTGGGAGTCCAGGCCCCCGGCCCCTCCTCCCTTGGACCCGGGAGTCCAGGCCCCCACCTCCTTCTCCCTCGGACCTGGGAGTCCAGGCCCAGCCCCTCCTCCCTTGGACCCAGGAGTCCAGGCCCAACTCCTTCTCCCTCAGACCCAGGAGTCCAGGCCCAGCCCCTCCTCCCTCGGACCTGGGAGTTCAGGCCCAGCCCCTCCTCCCTCGGACCTGGGAGTTCAGGCCCAGCCCCTCTTCCCTCGGACCGGGAGTCCAGGCCCCCAACTCCTTCTCCCTCCCACGAACTGGGCGTCCAGGCCCCGCCCCTCTTCCTTCAGGTCCCCCTCACCAGCCTCCACCGACACAGAGTCCGGCTTTTTCAGGAAAATTCCAGTGGGCTCTTCTGCAGTGGGGGACTGGTCCTCAGGCGGGTCTCCTGCTCAAGGAGACAGGACGAGGGGGTCTGAGATCGGCGGGAAGGGGGCTGTGGACCACGCTGGGAAAGGGGCTTAGAGACCGTGGGCGACCCTCTGCTCGGGAACCAAAGATCACGGGGGCGAAATGGCTCTTCCTGATCTGGGGAAAACCGCGTCGCCCGGGTGGCCTTGGCCGGGCTCCCCACCTCTCCGACCTCAGCATCCCCATCTGTGGACTGGAGGGTCCTGAACGGGCCTTTGGGTAGGAGGGGCTTAGAGGGACCGGGACCCCTGTGCTGGGCAGGACTTGGCGATCAGTCAGCGAGGGGCTGGTCTCCGCCCTGGGGCACGAGGGAGCCAGGGCAGGCTGTGAGCGGGGGAGGTGCCAGTTGGCTCTGGCGCTGTCAGGGGACCGATGAAAGGACAGAAACTGGGAGAAGGCTGGGGTGAGGAGCAGAGGGAGCATGGGGATATGAGCTGCCAGGCCGGCTGGGCCCTGGGAACCGTCTCACCTTTGGGGGCCTCTGCTGGAGCCTCCTTAGGGGCAGCCTGTTTGGGGGCCTCTTTGCCTTTGGGGGCCTTTTTGGCTGCTGTGAGGTACCAGATGCTCGCAGTTAAGCCCCCTCCTCCCTCAGACCTGAGACCCCAGGCCCCTCCTCCCTCAGACCCGGGAGCCCAGCCCCCTCCTCCCTCAGACCCGGGAGCCCAGCCCCCTCCTCCCTCAGACCCGGGGAGCCCAGCCCCCTCCTCCCTCAGACCCGGGGAGCCCAGGCCCCTCCTCCCTCAGACCCGGGAGCCCAGCCCCCTCCTCCCTCAGACCCGGGGAGCCCAGCTCCCTCCTCCCTCAGACCCGGGAGCCCAGGCCCCTCCTCCCTCAGACCCGGGAATCCAGTCCCCTTCTCCCTCAGACCCTGGATGCAGGCCCCTCCTCCCTTAGACCCTGGAGTCAGGCCGCCATCCTAGATGTAAATTTATCTCTGATCTGGAGAGTCTGTGGGGTCAGGTTTCCCTTACCCAGGGCCCATCCACCCAGGCCACCAGGCCCTGACCTTTTGGGTTCAGGGGGTATAATTAGCTCTACCTCCGGGCTGGAAACTGGACACCTCGTGCTGACCACAGCATCCTTCCTCTGCCCTGCTTGCAAGCTCCTGGCCCACTGGACCCAGCTACAGCAGGGGTCCGAACCCCACCCCACAGTCTGGTTGGCCTGATGCCAGCAGACCGGATATCCCAGAAGGAGTGACCCTACCTCCCAAGGGGCTTTCATCTTTTGAAGCCCCATCTTCAAATAAAGTGCTCCCAGTCACCTTCAAAGAAGGGACCCCAAACTCCACATAAAGAAAGGACCCTGGCTGGTCGGGAGTGAGGGCGCACGCCTGTAATCTCACCATTTTGGGAGGCCAAGGCGGGAGGATTGCTCAAGCCCAGGAGTTTGAGATCAGCCTGGGCAACATAGCGAGACACAAAAAAATTTTAAAAAGTTAGCCAGGCGTGGTGATGCATGTCTGTAGTCCCAGCTCCCAGGAGTCTGAGGTGGAAGGATCTCCTGAGTGAGCTGTGACTGCAGTACTGCACTCCAGCCTGGGCAACTGAGTGAGACCCCAACTCAAAAATTCAATAAAACAATGTATACATAAAAATTATTTAAAAAAAAAAAGCCGGGCTCGGTGGCTCAGCCTGTAATCCCGCGCCTTTGGGAGGCTGAGGTGAGTGGACTGCCTGAGCCTGCGGGTTCGAGACCTGCCTGGGCAACTTGATGAGACCTCATCTCCACAATAAATCAAAAATTAGCCGGGCGTGGTAGCGCACGCGCCTGTAATTCCAGCTACTTGGAAGGCTGAGACGGAAGGATCGCCAGACCCCCCAGCAGGTCGAGGCTGCGGTGGCCGGGAGCGGCCACTGCACTCCAGTCTGGGCGACAGAGTGAGACGCCAACTCAAAAAAATAAATAAAAAATAAAAATTAAATTAAATTAAATTTAAAAAAGGACCTTGACCCCTATATGAAGAAGGCCCCCTAATTTCTACTCAGAGAGAACTCAATTCCGGTAGAAAGGAGACGTCCCATCATTGTAAAGAGAAGAGATCCCCCGTGACAGAACCCTCAATCTTCAGTCACAGTCGCCCACATCCTATGGAAAAAGGCCCGACCTTCACTCACAGAAGTGGCCCAGTTCCTGCCCAGAAGATGCCATCCCCAAAAGTAGAGGAGCCCAGTCACCTGCAAAGACTCCCCAGTGTGCACACAGGATCCCATGCCCACTGAGAAAAAAGGACCCACTTTACAATCAGAGAATCTCCATGTCCACCAGAGATGGGCTCCCCAACTGCCTACAGAGAAGGAAACCCCCTCATTGCAAAGGGAAGGGGACCCCCACCCTACACAGATATGGGAACCCCAATCTCATGCGAGGAAGGAAACACCTGTCCTCACAAAGGGAAGGGGACCCCCACCCTACACCTTCCACCTCACAGAAAGGGGAGTTTCCTCCTCCTCACACAGAGAAGGCACCCTGTTCTCCCCACCCTACAAAGAAAAGCCCCAAATCTACAGAGGGAAGGGGTCCCAGCAGCCACCTGATTTTGCCTCAGGCATGTCGGCAAACTTCCTCCCGCTCCTGACAGCACCTGTGTCCCGCCAGGCCCAAAGGAAGACAGGTGGGCCCCCAGAAAGAGCCCTTTAAGGAGTCCAGAGACTCCCAGAAGGCTCCGGGAGGCATCAGGCCTTTCAGCTACCCCACATTCCTCCCGCATGTTCTAAAGGGCGAGAAATAACAGCTGGACAAAGAGAAATGGCGGGATGCCAGGTCCTCAGGGAGGAGGGCTGGACCTGGACTCCTGGGTCTGAGGGAGGAAAGGCTGGGGGCCTGGACCCCAGGGTCTCAGGGAAGAGAGGCTGGGGGCCTGAACCCCTGGGTCTCAGGAAGGAAGGGCTGGGGGCCTGGACCTCTGGGTCTCAGGTAGGAGGGACTGGAGCCTGGACCTCTGCGTCTGAGGGAGGAGAGGTTGGGGCCTGGACTCCTGGGTCTGTGGTAACAGAGGCTGGGGGCTGGACCCCTGGGTCTAAGGGAGAAAAGGCTGGGGGTCTGGGCCCCCAGGTCTGAGGGAGGAGGGTCTGGAGTCCTGGACTGTGGAGTCTGACAGAGGAGAGTCTGGGATCAGGACTCCTGGTCTGGGGAAAGAGAAGAGTGTGGTTCTGACCTCCTGGGTTGGAAAAGGAGGGAGCTGGAGGGCTGGACTCCTGGGTCTGAGGGAGGAGGGACTGGGGTCTGGACCCCTGGGTCTGATGGAGGAGGGGCTGGGGGCCTGGGTTCCTGGGCAGAGGGAGGAGGGGCAGGGCCTGGACCCCTGGGTCTGAGGGAGGAGGGGCGGGGCCTGGACTCTTGGGTCTCAGGGAGAAGGGGCTGGGGCCTGGACTCCTGGGTCTGTAGTAAAAGGGGCTGGGGGCCTGGACTCCTGGGCAGAGGGAGGAGGGGCGGGGGCCTGGACTCCTGGGTCTGAGAGAAGAGGGGCTGGGGGCCTGGACTCCTGGGCAGAGGGAGGAGGGGCGGGGGCCTGGACTGCCGGGGGCGAAGGAAGTTCGACTCCCGGACTCCTGAGTCAAGGGCAGAAGGACGCAGGATTCTTGGGTCCCCAGAAAGGATGAGGGCCTGGCTGCCTTGGTCCTGGGAGGAGGGAGAGGCAGGGCCTCGGGGTCTGGAGTGGGTGAGGGCTGCGAGCCAGGGTCTGGCATGAGGGGCCGGGGCGAGGCAGGGTCTGGAAAGCCATTCTTAGTTTCTGCAAGTCAGGAGTTTTCGGGAAACCGGAGACGGGGAGGGAGGGTCTAGTTTCTCGGCGTGGGCAGGAGAGCAGCGGGGGGAGGGGAGGTGGACA